GAAATTAAAGATAATATCCAAGAATAGAAAATATTTAATAGTTCATATATTCAGAGCTTGGGTTACATAAATAGCAATATCTTGTTACACTAAGAAATCATTCTACAATTCGGGTTCGTCTATTTCAATAGATGATAAATTATCTTAAACTTCAGAATAATGAATATATCAACTAATTGTTTACGTATAATTTGTGACCTAAAAAAATTTGACAAAAGCCTAATGTAACGTTATAAAGTTTGTTGTGAAACAATTATTGCATTCCATGTATGCATCTAATCCATAACAGTATGAGAGAGCTGTAAAAGTAATAATAATCAAATATTGGATCTCTAAACCTGATGAGCCCAAGTCACGCGAATTCTCGTGTTATTTTGTACATCATCCTGAAAGATCAAGGTACAAAACTTAATATTCAGGAAACACAATACCGTATTGGAAGTGATTGCCAAAAAAATTTTCATATCATTTATTTGTCAATTCACCCAATTCACTCGGTAATGGAATATGAAAATTATTTCGCTTCTAGGCCAGAAATTTATTAATTAATTAAAATATTTAATTCTCTATAAATATCGTATTATCGTTATGGCGCTTGACAGATGGCGATATATCGATATAACTTGTATATTTTTTTTAAAAAAAAAAATCACAGCACAAATTTCTTTTTTTGGCAATTCCCGTAACAATGACGCATGAACCACAAAGTATCAACTATATAAAAATAACCATACATTCTACCTATGTACGTATCTCCCTTTTTCTGACAACGGACATTAAAGTTATAAATGATAATATTTTTGCCCATTAAATCTGGCCAAAACATATCTGAATAAATTTTTTATTTCATAGAAGTTCTTTTAAGATATATTTATGTAATTATAATTAATACACACTATGTCGTCAAATAAATTTTTATCGATAATTAAAGACATTAAGTCATTAAACGGATTGAGGTTTTATTCCTTAATATTAACATTTATAATAATGATACCTCTTATACATTTGTTTTTCGTATTTGATTTTTTCAATTACTTGAATTACCCCATAATCAAAATTAATATAATATTACCACAACATTCAAACGCAACTACCATGAATTATCAGAAACGTCCTCCTGACGGTTATGTTATTGACATAAATCAAGTTAATAAACATTGCGAACCAATAAATTATACCACCGCGGTGCTTTATAAGTATCCTGTTCAAGATTGTTTAGATTACCTGGACACAAAACAATCCGAATACTTGGTAAAACCTGCCTCTCCAAAATATTGTAATGAAAAAGATCCAATGATATTTCATGTTTATTGGCGAGGTAATATGGTCGAAAAAATTGCTTTAATGATAAAATCATTTTTATACACTCAACCATTAAATTGCTCTCGTCTCTACGTTTGGGTTGATGAGAACAGTGAAGACCTTCGCTTGAATAATGAGATTTTGCCGCTGATTCGTTTCTCTGGAAAAAATTTAGTTTTTAAAAAATGGATCACATCCGAACAATTGAATTCTGATCCAATTTTCAATGGCTGGAAGTCTAAATTAAGATCAAATCAAAATGTCGTCGGATTTAGCGATATAGTACGTTTCGTATTACTTTATCGATATGGTGGAATGTATTTGGACGCCGATGTACTTTGTCTTCGAGATATGAGACCGTTGTATTATTTGAACTTTGACTTTGCTTATCGTTGGAGTATATGGACTCATTATAATACTGCTATATTACGACTTCAACCTAATAGTACTATATGTCGAACTATTATTCAGGAAGCGATATTGAATAACATGGATTTTCATCCGATGTCTCTTAAAAATTATCTTATAAAAGATAAGTCAAAAACAATAACAAATCATGATTTGAATAAGCATCTTTATATGATGCCGGTAATTTTATTTGATCCTTTATGGTTGAAAGCAGATTTGACCATTGTAAATCAAATATTAAACCCAAATCTGAACACTTTTTTTGATGTATTTAAACCTTATATTTTGGATTACGAGTTTCCGGAAAGCTTGATTACTAAAATGAACAATGATCCTTTGAAACTGAGAAATAAACATCATTTCTTTAGAGGTGCTTTCACTTATCATTGGCACAACAATTGGGACAGGTCAATTAATCCTAAATCTTGGCTTGGCGTATTAGAAAATGCTTATGATGCGTTCATACAAGGTAGAGATTCAAATATGTATAATGAATATTTATCATTTGTAAAAAGAAAGTTATTGTAATAATTTGGTTACGAATAATATTTGAATAGATTATTATTTTATTAGTTAAAATGCTACTTAATTTGTATATATATATAAACAATTTCACTCATTTTCATGAATTTTTTGTCATTTATTAGAACTTGATACTTTCAATAGCGATGTTCTATTTTTTATCAAGTTTTATAAGAGAAGAATTACTCGTGATTTTATGATCGATTTTAAATATATTTTTTTAAATCGATACATTTTAAAATACTTGGCGACGTGTTGTAAATTAATTTAAGTAAAGTGTTTATTATTAAAATAAATCTTAATATAATCTTTATTAAGGAACTTTTGGCAATTTGCAAAATTATATGACTTATTTTAATAATATTATGAAACTTGATCTAGGTTTATCCTGAATTCATATTCAACCTAATTAGATGAAGATTTTTTTTTAATTCCACGAGATTGTAGAACAAAATTAGTGATACGGGCTTTACAAAAAGATGTGACCCATGATTTTCATGATGAAATTCTGGATTGTTTATATGTTATATTTTCCGATTTTCACATAAAGATGATTTATTGATTGGTAGATTTTAAATCAGCAAATCATGAAACAAATACTTTTGAGGCCTGATAAAATAATTTTTTTGCCGGCCCCGAAAATTAGGGTTTACTATTTTTTAAAAAGTTCAGCCCGCATTTTACTATGTTTTTGGTATTTTTGACCCGCAATTTTACTGTTTTAAAATTTTTCAATTTCGGCTCTAAAATACTTATTTACCAAATATTCTCAAATCATTTCATTCGCTTTAATAGTGGGTGTGTATAAAGATGAGTTATTAACCTATGGAATTAAATCATGAATAGTGTTCCCATCGGGTCAGGTCGGGCTAAAGCTTGAACTGACCCGACCCGAACCCGACCTAAAATCAACCCGAAAATATATATGTGAATAAAAAAAAACGAACCGATACTATAAGTTAAATTTTAATTAACGCATATGTTACACCAATATAATACTTAATGCTGGCCAAAATTAATCTTAAAGCTAGCCAAAATTAATTTAATGCTGACCTCCTTATTTTATTAGTAATTTTCGGGTCAAGTTCGGTCGGGTTGGCTCTTAACTCGAACCCGACTCGAACCCAATCCGAAAATTTTTGGGTCAATTTTTCTTAACCCAAATCTGATCTGAACTTTTGAGGCAGTTTTTTTTTAGGTTGATACAACCTGATCGAACACTAATTATGAACAAATACTTATTTAGGAGAGTAACTGGGTATGAAAAACATATAAATGTAATTAACGCATATGTTACACCAATATAATACTTAATGCTGGCCAAATTAATCTTAAAGCTAGCCAAAATTAATTTAATGCTGACCTCCTTATTTTATTAGTAATTTTCGGGTCAAGTTCGGTCAGGTTGGCTCTTAACTCGAACCTGACTTGAACCCAATTCGAAAATTTTTGGATCAATTTTTCTTAACCCAAATCTAATCTGAACTTTTGAAGCAGTTTTTTTTCAGATTGATACAACCTGATCGAACACTAATCATGAACAAATACTTATTTAAGAAAGTAACTGGACATGAAAAACATATAAATGTAATCATAGTAGAAAATTAAAAAAAAAGCAGATTTTATACAAAACTGAGACTAAGAATCAACTTGCATTAATTATAGATTATATTAAATACTTTATACTATCTTTTAAATTGTATTGTAGCCAAATTTGCTTGTAACTTTTAAAAATAATTTTTAATATCAGATAAAAATTTTAAATATTAATTTTAACAATATA